GTATTGCTATCCCCCTGGCTGACCCAAGCCCAGGACAAAAAAAGTCGAGACTCTAAGAATGAAACTAAACAACAAATAAACGACATTCCAAAAAATTTCCTTTAGCGCTGTTTGGACTGTGTTGTCGGAAAGTAAGAGTGAATTAAGCTGTGAAAGACAGGTATAAAGGCCAAAAGATATATGTGTTTAATATACGGCTTTTATAAGATATCTTTCTAATTTTTTTGGTGATAAAAACTGTCGCACCGGGACCAGTGTGTTACTTCCTTTCACGAAGCTTCACATTACAGTTTTGATAGTTGGCTATGTTCTAAGCTTAGATATGTAATACTAGTACTACAAATGTCTAAGCCTGACTTTAGACATGTATTACTTACACAACAGTACTATTCACAAGGTCTATTATTTTTTAATTTAAACCCGGGTCTCGGGATGTTAAAACGCAACTAAGCAACTAAGCTTTCAAACCTACCTCACGTTGCTAAAGAATACTGTGAGATACGTTCGAAAGCTACTATACGTTCCTTTATTTCAAACCATAACATTATATGACTGAGATAAATCGTTCTTTCCTTACCTCAAATAAAATGAGTTGCTTTCAGCGAGTTGTGACTGCTTCAACGTAAACCGCCGTCCTTGTGTTCAAATGCCTGGATCGTTTCAAAAGAAAATCTTGCTCATATCCATATATCGGCATAAGGAAGACAGGCGAGGCCTCAAATCAATTAAAGCTATCTTTTATGAGGATCCCTTTGCTTCAGCAAAATTCAAAAATGGCGCTCAAATTTGACTTATTTCGTCATTCGGTGTTCCTGCTCTTTCCTCGAGGCAAACGAGAAAAAAATGAGGGTGGTTTAATGAATATTAATGATGAATTGAATAAGCAATTTTAATTAATGAACTGCACGGAGATGATCGGAATTTCAAGCCCTCGTGCGCACGCACCGCGAAACAATGTTATTCAAATTAATGTTTTCTATTCAAAATGTTCGAAAGGTAATTAGCT